TCCTCTGAAACTTTTCCTGACCTCTCCCTCCCCCAGTGGCATCAGCCACTGCCTTCTGCATCCTATCATGGCACCCATGGCACTTACTATTCTCGTTTGTTTATATGTTTCTCTCCCATTGAACTCTGAGATCTTAGAAAGAGAATGCATCTTTTCCGTTTTTGTATCATAACACCTAAAACACAGTAGTACTTGATGAATGACTGCAGAAAGAATTAATAAGGAAATAGTATCATCTGACACTGAAAACTATGTAGGTCTAGGAAGAGAGATTGTCTCTACCCTTAGGGCACAGCATAGCGCCTGATAGAGAGTAAAGTCTTATTCTTTACTGACTGAATAAATGAATGAATGACTCAAGTGTATGCCCTTGGATGCTGCAGGACAAATGATACAATCCCAAGAGGGGTGCTGCCAGGGTGGGCCAGTGCCTCCCCGGGCTTCCAAGGGCTGCAGCTATGTTGGGTGGGGGGGGGGTGTCACTGGAAGCTGAGAAGCTACAGGGAGAGTGGAGGCAGGGGGGCTATATTCTCTCCTGAAGTCCAAGGTGTGTGTAGGAGGTGAGAGAGCTAACAAGGCAGATACGGGGTTGGAACCAAGAGGGAGACCAAGAGCTGCAGAGAAGTGAGTGTGTTCCAGATAACCCTGGCAAGGGGACGAGGCATATCTTTTCTTGACATTTCAATCACATAGGGCATGCCTGGGTGCCTCCCCTCCCTCAACCTTCTTGATCTCAGCACTTTGACAAAAAATAATAATTCTTCACCAAAACTCAGGAAACCTAAAAGCCTAGGGCTATAATTTAAAAAATCTAAAATCAAACACTACATTTCTGTTATTATTTATTTTTCTTCAGATCCCTAAATAGAAACCACGACAGGTAGGGATGCCTGGGCGGCAGAGTCGGTTGAGTGTCCAACTCTTGGTTTAGGCTCAGGTCTGATCTCAGGGTCATGAGATCAAGGCCTACGTTGGACTCCACACTCAGCATGGAGTCTGCTTGTGCTTCTCTCCCTCTCCCTCTGCCTTTCCCCCTGTGCGTTCACTTGCTCTCTCTCTCAAATAAATCTTAAAAACAAACAAAAAGCCAAGACAGATAGACTTCTAACAGCAATATGAGGACAATCCGAGTCTGACATATTTGAAAAGCATTTCTATGGGTATAAGTCATTGTGATAAGCACTTCTGGGGCCTATGTGGAGAAAAGTCCAGGGCTACTGTGAACCTACCCCATACAAGCTCCCGCCCTCGTGGGACACAAGATGCAGCACAAGTTGCTCTAGGCCATTTTATTCTATCTTAAAGCTATAATAGGAATTAAAAGGATGGCATTAAAAATAACTAGTATTTTTGAGGCTTTAGCACAGGACTGGGATTGTTTCTAAGCACTTTATAGGTATTGTTTCTCAGAACAATTCTATGAGGTAGATTCAATGACTATTCCCATTTTACAGAGGAGAAAGTTGAGGCTGGCAGAGGTTAAGTAACTTGCCCGATGTCACAGGACGAGGGATTGGAACAACTGGGCTTGTGACTCAAGTGAGTTCAGCCCAACCACAAGGTTGTATTACCTTCCAGAGGTTAATACAACTAAGAAAGATTATGGGGGAAAGCAGGGTTAGTGCTGGTCTTTCAGGAATAAGAAGAACGTCAGTCACTAGATATGGCGGGAGAAAGGATTCAAGCAGGGGTCAACGTCTGCCGTGGGCGGAGGCAGGGAATGGAGGAGAGACTCAGGCAGGGGCAGAACTGGACCGTGTGGTGCTCAAGACAACTCACCTGCCCGCCCTCCACCCCACTCCGCAGCAAAATGGTCAAAACGAAGACCAGCAAAATTCACTCCTCCAAAGAGGATGGGTTTTACTTAAACCTGAGGCACCAGTCAGAACACTTATCTAGAAGTGGAGGCTGGAGAGCACAAGATCACAGCACAAGTGGACTTGGTCTTTCTTGTGTTCAGACCCCCTTCAATAATGCAGGGGTCGGGCCCACAATGAAGACCATACATTTCCAGTCTGGAGAGCAGACGGGGCAGGCAGAAGTGAGGTGAAGGGGAAAGGAAAGCCAGAGGACATGCTATATAGGCCTTGATAGTCCCAGTGGAATAAAAGACAAGTGCACCAACAGAGAAAGGGAATCACTGGGTGTTATTTGCAAACAATGAATCACGGAACACTACATCAAAAACTAATGATGTACTGCATGGCGACTAACATAACACAATAAAATTAAATTAAAAAAAACAACAACAGAGAAAGGGAATCAGAGCTACTATGGGATAGACAGCTACTATGGTGAATTTTTAGAGGATTCTTAGGAAATAGGGAAAAACAAATACCCAGGTAAATCAGATAGCATGAATACGAAGGACGTCTAATCAGCATGGTGATATTATTTCCTTCAGTGAATCCTAGTAGCTCAGGCCAGGGAACCAAAAGCCAAACAAATATCACCTGAAAAGTAATACCAGGATTGAAGTGAGCAGGTGATCAAGGCAGGGGTTGAAGGAAGCGGCAAGAATATCTACAGCGAGGCTTTCACCAAACAAGAGGAGCAAGATGGGGGTGGGGGAGGGAGAGCAGGAAGCTACTTCTGAGGGCCATGTCTGAGCAAGTGTAAGGGGTGACCATGCCAGGGTGATGGGGCAGGGGGCAGGGAAGTCAACGATGGTAGGAAATAGGGATATCGGGGTGTTAGAAAGTTCAAGGACACGGATGTTGGTTGTCGGCAAGAAGAATGGGCCTGGTGGTAGTGTGTGCTGGAAAAAGGCAGCTGGTGTCTGTAGGTCTGCACGTGATGCACTAGAAGGTGTACGTAGGGCAGTGTTAGTACTGAATGCATGACGGTGGTGGGGAAATGGTGTGAGACAGCAGGGGTCCGGAGGATGGGTGAATGCCACGTGTGTCACTTGGCTCTGTGATATGGCAGTGGGGAGAAGAGGAAGCCACGTCACAGTGCAAAGGGAGCAGCCACATTTCAGCAAGCAAAGAGCCACTGAGCAAAGGTGATGGTGTGAGCCAGGCTACAGCGGGAATGGAGGCCCAGCTCGGTGTGATATGGCAGGGCTGGGAGTAGGCGTTCCCCTCTCTTCTCTGCTTCCATGACCCACATGTTTGGCAAGCTAGGGAATGGGGTGGGGAAAGAAGAAATATTACTGGCTTTTTTCTTGTTTTTCTTTCTTTTTTTTTTTTTTTGCACTCCCTAAAGCTTATACTTTTACTCTAATCTCTGCTGCATGCTGTAATAGTTTATAATTTCATCTGCACCATGTTGCATACTCTAACAACCACGATGTATTTCTGTACGCTATTCTGTGATTATTTTAGAGGAAGTTCCAGTACTCCTTTAATCTCACTCTCCTCGAAGGCAGTTTATCACATTTTTTTCTGATAAAAATCAGATAGATAAGCATTTTGAAGCATGACATGGTGCCATATGCCACAGCATTCTTGAATTCCAGGACACAAGGAAACTTGGAATCTCACATTTTTGGAATCTCAAGATTTTGGAAATGTGTTCTAGAAGAATTCCCAGGGAAAAAAGTTGACGTTGTCCATAAATGAGCATAAAGACGCGGCTAAGAGCATGGACTCAGGAATCAGACAGACCTGTGGTCAAACAGACCAAGGTGTCCAACTGGCAGCTACGGAACTTTGGTCAAATCTCGTACATTCTCTAAGTCTTGGGTTTCTTGTCTCTAAATGGGGATAATATCTGTCTCACAGATAGCTGGACACTAAAGACCTAAAGCATGCAAGGAGCTCCACACAATAAATGCAATAAATAGTCCAAAAAATGCTATTGCTTTTTTTTAAACTTATAACTGTTTTTTCTTTGTTTTATGAGTTTCTCCAGGGAAGTTTTTGGTAAATTTGGATTTTATATCTCAGGTTTTTTTTTCCTTAAGTAGCATTAACATAATAGTTCATTTTCTGATTTTTGTTTACTTACCATAAGCTCAGGAGGGTACCTGAGGTACTTAATAGGTGAATTCACTTTACGATGAATAGTTAAAGACTGTGAACAAGAAAGTTGGAGACAGACCCAGAAGCTGTGCAGTCCTAGTATGCCTTTCCCCTATCTCCGAACCCCACCTCCCCCCACTACTCTACTGCCCTATTTTCTTTCTTTTTTTTTTTTAAGATTTTATTTATTTATTTGAGAGACAGAGATTGAGCACAAGCGGGGTAGAGGGAGAGGGAGAAGCAGACTCCCTGCTGAGCAGCGAGCCCTCCATGGGGCTCGATCCCAGGACCCCAGGATCATGATGTGAGCTGAAGGCAGACACTTAACCGACTGACCCACCCAGGTGCCCCTCTGCTGCCTTATTTTCATGTGTTGTCACCCACCCTCCTACATGAAACACACATGTGTATGTGCAAACATATATTCTGTTATGTATACTGAAAATACAGAGGAGTCCAACATGCATATTAGCTTTTGGATATAATGAAGTCATACTATTAACTCTTTATACTAAGTTTGTTATTTAGAATTAATTGAAGAAGTGCCCAAACTACCATTTAAAAAAAAACAATGATAATTTATGTTTTCATCCTTGCTGGTTTTAGATTATACAAAAGAACAGATACCTGAATACTTAAAAATACTTAGCTCTTCTACTCTTACTGGAATGGATCCAAATGCATCACTGACGAAGTAAACTGGAAAGTAGTCCAGCTTAACTTCTACAAGAAATACTCCCGAATTGTTAGTGGAAGAAATCGTGGCCACGTGAAGGACAGAAGGAAGTATAAGTGCAAGTGAGGAAGACTAACAGATGCATTCGTTAAATTGGGTGGACATTTCTTAACATTGCCTTTCCTTCGAACGGTATCTTGTATTCAACATTATACTGGTGGTTGCTTCAAACGATTCTGGGTTCTTCTTGAACTACTTTACCTACAGATTAGGAACGTGCTGCTTTATGGGAAATACAGCCATCAGGACAAGAGGGACAGAACGAACATACCCGATGAGCATGGTCTGTACATACTTACTATCGCACGCGGGCATCTGGCAAGATCTTACAAGAGGCGGCCCTGGAAGGTCTCGGCACATCATCTCACTGAGGGGAACACGCTGGCCTTTGGCCGTCAGCCTCTGACACACCTGCTTTCTTCGCTGGGTTCCAACACCGCAACTGACGGAACACTGCAACGAGAATTGTGCACCCGTCCCATGGAGCGTCCGCAGACAACGCAGCCAACAGCCAAGTCTCCTGCGGCACCAGAGCGGTCCCACATGTGGCTGCGCCAGTACATGAGCCATTTCCTAGTCTTGAACCCCTATCTCTTATTGATAATTTATTTCTTTAATTCAAGTACACATGACAGTGTTACATTAGCTTCAGGTGTAGAACACAGTGATTGGCCAAGTCTCTGCGGTACCCGGTGCTCACCACAGTCAGACCCATCACCACGCAACATCATTATGGTATTACTGACTGTATCCCCCACACTGTGCTTTTCATCCCCGTGAATTGTCTTTTTTTTTTTTTTGACTTATCTTTTATAATACAGGGAGTTCCCCCCCTTCCTTCCTCCTCTCTGAGATAGTAATTAATTTCCAGTAATTTACTGTCATGGGAATTTTTTGACAGTGTAATTGATATCTGATTTATTTTTTAGCTGTTTATTTATATAGTAAGATGATCGCGCTAAAAAAAAAGAAAAAAGATACACACCCACGACCAAGACTTCAAGAAACAGAAAAGTATTAAAGGAAAGTTTTTTAAAAACCACTCAAATTACATAAAATAACACTAGTATTTGATCATCAATGGGTGCATAACATTGATAGTTGATAATCATTGTGTGTACATGCAATTTTAATTTTAAAATGTAATGCAGTTTTATTAGGTATATTAGAAAAAAGGGAACTAAAGTAGAATTAAAGCAGCTGTTGAAGATCTGAGGGTTTTTTTCAGCCATAACAATTAATTCCCTAAAGAACCCTGTTATGTTAATGAAGAAAATTGAAGAAACCAACAGATTTATTATTTTTTTAATTTTAATTTTTTTAATTTTTTTTAATTTTTTTATTGTTATGTTAATCACCATACAACTACATCATTAGTTTTTGATGTAGCATTCCATGATTCATTGTTTGTGCATAACACCCAATGCTCCACGCAGAATGTGCCCTCTTTAATACCCATCACCAGGCTAACCCATCCCCCCACCCCCCTCCCCTCTAGAACCCTC